TTCAAGTTTTAGACCGACGCTCAATTGAAACCGGTTTTTGGGTGAATTGAGACGCGGCTTAAATTCGTTAAATTCGAACACGGATTTAATGAATTTCGAGAAGTAGTTGAGCAACCTACCGCGCTGGTTAAAATCCTGAATCATTAATGCAAAGTAAAAGCTTCATGAGAATTTAGGTAGTTAGGTGGAGAGTGAATCGGTGATCCAGGATTAAATTCGGCGCTATGGTTTGTATCTTAAACACTTCGAATGCAATCATTTTAATATTTTACTTTTTCCATGAACTTTCTTTCATCCGAACATGTTTAAATGTTTAATAATTTTTTAATCTAAAGGAATTGAGTCTCTGATTTTTTAATTCTTATATCTTCACAACCCAATGTAGTAGACCTTAGAATTTCAAACTATGAATTCTGTTGGATCAAAGAATTTAAGTTTGAAATATCAAAAGTTTACGCCATAAGATTGTAAAAATCTAGTTATTAGAACTTTTGAGTCTGTGGCAAAAACTCAATTCTTTTCGATTTGATTTTTGGGAAATTAAATTGTGAAAATATAATAAAACAACATTTTTTTAAAATAAACTTAATTTTCCTTGTCAAATATAAGAATTATATTTATGAGGAAGTAAAAATATTATCTTCTCATAAGATTAAAATAAAACTAAGAAGCAGAATGCATTTTATTGAATATATATTTCTTTGCAATCTTGAAAATGCAAGAGGCAAAAAATTGCAATGCAAGTTTTTGCGGACTTTAGGAGGCTTCTCAGGATTATGAGTAGATAACCTTGTAAATTGCATTATGCAAATCTTTTGTACATTTTTCAAATATTTTAAGATACAGATTTAGTATTTCGTGCATTACTGTATACATGCTGTACATCAGAGTAACCTTAAACCACTACATTACTGTATACATGCTGTACATCAGAGTACCCTTAAACCACTACATTACTGTATACATGCTGTACAACAGAGTACCCTTAAACCACTACCAATATCATTTCAATGATGGTTGAATATTCCCCTTGAAAGTCATTTTTGAGTTTAGAGCAACAAAATTTAATAAATAATTTATTGTTTTAAAGTATCCTAAAAAAGATGTGTAAAGAAATCACTGAATGTTATCTGTCGCACTTTGATGGCGAAAGAAGATTAAAACCCCAACATTTTTCATTGACGACCTCTTCAACCTTCATAAAACATTGGAGGAACCCTATCATTCATTGGAGACCTTATTCTTCAATCCAATGAGGAGGCCAGGATGATAATCCTCAACAATTATAGAATAGCATATCTGATTTACAGCGGTACTTCTTTAAAGTAAGAATTTGATATCCATGCTATAATTTTGCAAATGGATTATTTTCAATTGTGGTTTCTCAGCAAATGTGATTTGCGGATTTCTACGACAGAAAAACATGCAATGTAAGATTTACCTGTAAAAACGACGATATCACCCCTAATGTGCTAGATAAAGGGTAGAGTTGTGAATCAAGCGTTTTTTTAATTGATGGGCACTTTTAATTACAAGCAACCTTTGAGTGGGGTCATCAGTGAAACTTTAATGATGATAATTTCTTTTCAGACTCAAAACTAATTGAATTAATCAATTTGACAGAAATGTTTCTAAAACTTAATGGAAAACCATTTCCGCTCCGGAATTAAGGCTTGATTATGAAATAGCCTGGTTTTGCGTAAATTGCGTAAACTTAATTCCTAGATCTGTTTGCGTACACATGGACGTAGTATTTCAATTGCGTGATCAAGGTTACATCACATCAACAGGGGGAAATAATACACGCAAATTTACGCAAATTACGCAAAATTGCAATATTCCTTAATTTAGTCTGGCAAAAAATTTGTGTTTGTCATTATTTTTTATATTGCCCTGTATTCGCAGTAATTCAGTGTATCTATTTAAACAATTTTTAAACATGTATACATGTATTTTTCTTTTGTCATAGAAAGTTTTTTTTTGTAGATTTTAAATTTGATTCTGAGAACTTTTAGTCACGTTTTAAAGACGGAATCCGTTGAAAATTTTCTATATTTTATAAACTGCTGTTATTAGAATTTATCTATCCTTCATTATATCATAATTATACATAGGATAGATAGGTGGAAGGATGGATGGATGGATGGTTGGATGGATTGACTGCTAAAGATTAAGTTTAACGAGTGCACTCATGTATATCGGTTAAATGGTATCGTGCCCCTTATCCCGTTACCTCCCCTCCCCCCTTTCCTGCATCCAACCCCCCTTTTTAACCTTTTTTATCACCCTCCTCCCTTTCTTCCTTGATATTTTACTGCCATGC